AGAGAATTACATCCAGGTCCCAAATAATAAAATTAATTAATACAAGATTTATTAATAATTGAACTAAAGAGATTGACAATACAATTAATTGTCAATCTTCTTAGTTTAGTTATCAATAAATCTTGTAATAATTAATTTTTTTGTGTGAGAGTTCAATATAATTCTCCCAAAAATATATATCATAATTACTTGATAATTATTTCAAAGTAATTGTTAAATATAACATTACTTGACAGTTATACGAAATAACAATCAATTATCACCACTATAGAATTAAATAAACAAGATATCACATACTTGACAATTATTTGATAAAAGCGACAAATAAAAAAGGCACTAAATATTTTTAATTGTTTCAAAATAATCATTAAGTATTTAAACATATACTTGATGGTTATTATAAAACAAGTATCAAATAAATAATATAATATAATTATTTAAAAAATATAACTATTTGATGCTTGTTTATGAACAATTATTAAATATATTAAGTGTTTATTTGACTACTGTTCTAGAACAAGTGTCAAATACATAACACTTGACAGTTGTTTGGAAATAACTATCAAATATTATGTCTTAAAATGCCACTAGAAATGCATTTTAATTTCATAACAAATGCATCCTCTTCCGATCGAAACACTCCTAGAACCTACGGAAAGCACATTTTTGATCATCCAACCACCATTTCACCCTCAGCTGACCTTAGGGTCTTGATTTTTGGCTTCATTTTGCTGGATTGGAGCCTTCTAAATTGAACATAAATAACCCAACAACATTTTGATAATCAAAAGTTTAGGATATTAATTGTTCTTTAAAAAAAAATTTAGGCAAAATTTTTCTTTATCATAGTTAAAATTGTTCAACTAACAGCCAATATTCTTGAACCTTATTGTAGGGTGAAATTATCCCATTTTTAAAACTTCCAAGGTTATATTGTGTCAATCAAAAGTTAAATAAACCAATTGCACCTATAAAAAAACTTCTAAAATAAATTTGTCTTTTATTCAATTTTTACTAGAGCCAATAAGTCAGGCAAGTTTGATAGGTTAGGAAAAGTTAGAGCCATGCTTGACTATATAAATATTTTTTAAGAGAATATAATACTTTAAGCCCAATTCAAATAAACCTAACTCAAATATACTCAACTATTAGAATTTTTAACTCCATATGTATATATAGTTAGTAATTTCCAAGGTTTATGAGCCAATCTGAATTCAGCCAAAAAAAGTTAGGTCGGGTTTGGTTATATAGACTTTTTTAAAAAGCCCGCTTGAATGACAGACTCTAAATTTTACCATATGACTATATAATATAACATAAAATATATGCTGACAGAAAATGTAACTTATATCTCAATTTCCATGGGGGGAAAAAAAAGACCCACGTATAGTTCTTCCAAATGAAAGCGTGCCATAAAAAACATATTCCAAGTCATTGCTTTCTTATGCTTTATTCTATGATGACCAAAGGATATTCAACGGCTATCTATGACAAGTCTCATTACCATTTTCTTTTGATGCATACGAAGAGAACAAGATTCGTTTCGTCATTTTCTCATTAATTTGAAATCAGATAGAGGAAAGAGTGGGTGAAGAGCATGAGTGTAAACAAAAGGAAAATGAAACCTCATAATTCAAATTTCAAGGAGTCATGGTCGTCTTTGACCCAAAAAAAAAAAAAAGGAGCCATTGTCATCAATTTTGACCCGACATGATACTTTGGCATGATTTATGTATAGTGCAAGCACTCCTTAAATTAACATGATCAAGTCAATCATCATTCAGTTGGTACTCCACTAATTTGAGAAAAATATGCAGCGTGAATATGGTTTTGGTGAAATGCAACATTGGTAGTTTAATTCATTAGTTTAATTTATTTAATATATATATATATATATATATTAAGTTAATTTCTACCATAGAGATTTATTTATTTAATTAAATTTTAGTGGATGACATCTCATGTACAATAGTAAAATGAATTCAAATTGAAACATCTCTAGTCAAATCAGTATATCAGTTTGGCATTCATACAATAACTTGGGGCCTTTTTTCCAGCATATTTTGAGAATAATTTTTTGCTTTTCAAAATAAAAAAATAAAAATATATATTTGGTAACATATTTTTCAAAAATATTTTAGAATACAAAAAAAGAAAATATTATTCTGAAGAACAGAAAAATTAAAATAATTTTTAGGTTTCTGAAATTATTATTTTGGAAAATAAAAAAGAATTTAAAAATATTAATTTTTATTATTTTTTTATTTTCAGAATATGTTTTGTAAAATATTAATTTTTAAAATAATAAAATAAAAATAGTTCCATACAGTTCCTTAGATTCCTCACCCTGCAGTGCATTTTCAGGTACACTACTATAGAAAATAGTAAATAAGTTGTCTTATACTTGTCATTTGCTAGTAAAAAATGACAAATAAAAAAAGCAGATAATATTTAACAATTATTTCAAAAAAAAATCAAATTCTTAAATATATATTATATTTAACAATTATTTTCAAATAATCATCAATTTATTATTTTTAAAAAAATATATCTATTTGACATTGGAGGGTTATTTTAAAATAGACATTAAATAGAAAATACTTGAAGATTATTTTAAAATAATTATTGAGTATTTTTTTTTAATGCCCTGTAGGATCTGTTTTATTTCTCACTTACACCTATTGTATTTCTTTCCAAACTCTCCAAACCTCTTTGAAAACACATTATCGGCCTTTCTCCCCTCATTCTGCACAGAAAATTCATTGGGTACATGATTGTCTGGTGGTATTCGCTCGTTGGATTGCTTTTTCGACGTAGTTGCCCATGGGTTGCGTATGGCTTCTCCACACAGGTCTCCTTCAGAAATTGGACGCTGGTTGGTTGATTTGAAAAATTGTCTCTCAACCCCGATTCATTCGAACTCCATGAAGAGTCAAAAGAGAATTAAGTAAAAAGAGTTTTCCTGAAGCAATTAAATCCATGATAAGATTGACGGGAAAAAAGAGTATTGTATAACGAAGTTACTTAAATGAGAAAAATTCTTCTTATCATGAATCATGGCTATAATTATTATTTGTGATTTGTGAACTAACCATCGACTCCTCGGGCCTCCTAGGCCCCAGTGTAAGAAAATAGACATATCTTGGCTGTATTATGACGTAGTAGGAAATCTTCTTTGAATGTTTCGTTCATGAAACATTAGTCTATGACTATTTTGCATCATCTTTTATGTTTACAGAATGTTTAGGTGAATTGCTGAGAGCCTACCAGGATCAGATATGTACTTGTAGAGATATTTATAAATTGTCCACCAACATTTGCACCATATATGCTTTAACAATTGCGTTAATTTATATATTGTATATTAATTGGAGAATCTTTTATTTCAATAGTAAGAAAATGTAAAATAAAAATGATTTTCTAATTAATAATTCATAAAAAATATTGAACTTAAAATCAAAAATCAAAAAATAAATCTCACCCATTAATTAAAAAATTGAATATATATATATATATATATATATGACAATAAAAGTAAATCTTGTCATAACTTTTTTAGTGTTGGCTTTCCTCCTTCTAGGGAAGCCCTCCTCCCCATCTTCGCTAAAGAGGTATGAAATCTGGATTATTTAAATTATTGAATAGTTAAAATTTAATTTTTTTTAATTTTTTTAAAATAAAAAATTATATATATTTTCAAAATTTTTAATAAATTTGTTGACTAGTCTGCACAATCCAAATTTAATATAAATAATGCATATTTAATATCAAATATTTTATAAATTAATTTTCTAGATATATTTAATATCAAAAACTTTGATAAATTTGTTCACATGTCTGTACAATTTAGATTTAATATAAATAATTCATATTTAATATCAAATGTTTTATAAATTGATTTTTTAGATATATTTGAAAAATTTTAATAAATTTGTTCACATGCCTATACAGTCCAAATTTAATATAAGTAGTCCATATATAATATCAAATATTTTATAAATTAACTTTTTAGATATATTTTGAACAGTATAGATTTAATATTAAATTTTTATAAATTAAATATAGACCATTCATATTAAATATAGATTGTCCTTATTGGTAAGCAGAATTTTAAAATTATATAATTTTTTATTTTAAAACATATAAATAAAAATAAAAAAATAAATCTGAACCATCCTATTGTAAATATGAATGGTTCAAATTTAATAGAAGGTGGGAGGAGGATCGTAGGAGGGAATAGCAGGAGAAAAACTAAGTTCTAATTTTTTGGTATAAATTTTAGTACTGTATGTGTTAAATTATAAGAAAAATTAATCATTTAATTTTTTTTAATTTTAATTTAGTTGTAATTTAATTCTTAAAATTTAACTTGTTATAACTCAGTCCTTAAAATTTTAAATTAGGTATAAATCAGTCCCTATATTTTGTCTTTTATAATTTTATCTCTGAAGTTTTAATCTCTTAAATATTAGTCCTCATATTTTAAAAAATAAAATTATAAATATTTAAAATATTTTAAAATTTATTAATCATATTTTAAATTATTAAATCCTTTTAATCTTTATAGATATTAGAAATATTGAAAGTTTAAAATTTTTTTAATCTTTATAATTTTATTTTTAAAATATAGAGATCAATATTTGATATGTTAAAACTTCAAGAATTAGTTTGCAAGAAATAAAATTTAAAGGTTGATTTATAATCGAGACAAAAATTTAAATATTAAATTATAATGAGTTAAAATTAAAAATTAAATTATAATTTGATTAAAATTATAAAGATTAAGTGATTAACTTTTTTTAAATTATAACACATAAAGGGCGATCCAGATTGATAAGAAAATTCCTGTTGACCAACGTGATGTTCCAATCACTGGCGGCGATGACTGATTGACCAATGACCACGACGGTTCATTGCACCAAAATATCATCTTAAAATGTCAAAATTAAAGTCTCAAATTATTTCCACACACAATATATATATATATATAGTAACCAGATGCATCTTCAACCTAACATCATAACAAGAACATGGCGATCAAGCTGAGATCCATAGTGCAGTGCGTTGTGACAGTGGCTATATTTCTGGTGATAGGGTTACTGGGTGGAGGAGCCGAAGGGGTTGTGTTATGCAACACGGACACGACGAAGCTGAGCTTGTGTCGTCCGGCGGTCACCGGCCAGCACCCGCCACCGCCGACAGAGGCCTGCTGCGCCGTTGCCCGGCACGCAGATGCGGCATGTCTCTGCAAGTACAAGTCGGTGCTTCCTGCACTTGGGATTGATCCCCAGAAGGCGATCGCTTTGTCCGCAAAGTGTGGTCTCACCACTCCTCCACAATGCAAAGGTAATATAATCAATCCTTTTTTCCCCTTTAATCAAAAGTTATTAGGTGAAATATAATCAATCCCTTAATTATATTTTAGAAAGAAAAAAATCCTTTCATTATACGAATACGATAAAAATTTGAAAAACAGAAAGAATAAAATAAAGAAAAGAAAAGAAACTATTGAGTCTGGGGATAAATTATTTTCCTGTTCAGATTTATGATATAGAATGATTTTAAGAGTTAAGATAACCAATTATGTAAGAAATTTTAGGATATATTTAATTCAAATTTAGTGACCATTTGCATTTAGATGAAGTTTGGCTTTTTTTTTTTTTTGCTCAATTGTATAATTATGGATTTAAATCCTTTTAAGTTGACATTAGTAAAATCAGATAAAATTTTTCTTTTTTTTAATATTTTCACTCATTTTGTTATTTTTTTATAAAATAAAAAATATTTTCTCTGTTTTTTTTTTGGAAAAAAATTCACAAAGATTCATCAATTACAACTTCAAAAGATTTAAATTTTATAATTATATTACTCTTCTTCTTCTTTTCTTTTTTTTTTTTTTCGTTTTTCGGACAAACCGGTCATTCAGATTTGAATGAGTCATGTTGGCCCATCTTTTAAAAAAATAATATGATCAAATTTAAAACGATTTATTTTAACTTTTTTATGGATTGTAGGCTGACAGGATTATATGTAGAAGATAAATATTAATATGATTAGAAAGAAGATTTGAGGAGATATAATTTATATCCATAACTATGGTTTTCACATGCTGTGCTTTATCTAGCAAAAAAAAAAACATATTCTCTGTTTTAAGTTGGCAAAAAAAAAAAAAAAACCTACTCTGTTTTATCATATATATTGATTATATATACAAGAGAAAAATTTTAGTTTTTGATAGGCATGTTATAAATGATAACATTGAAAACAATGTTGCTCACTGCCCCTCATATGTTAGATGAAATTAAACATATCTTCACATGAAAACATGACAGTCTGTTAAAAAAATTCGTACAAAAAAAAAAACATTTTAAATTTATACATTTTAAATAATGTGATTCACAAGTAATGACTCTTGCTTTCTTGTTGTTGCAGGGAAATGAAGGTGTTTTAGCTCATATTCATTATAAGCACTATCTTAAATCAACCTGCCCTTGAGTTTTTCATCACCATTAGAAAAAGTTTACTAGGGATTGAATAATTTGCCCTTCTCTGAAATAAATAAATTTCCGTTAATCATTTGTAAGCAAGACGTCATGTAAAGTGTCTCTTGTGTTTGTGAAATTTATATTGCTACTTGATGTACTACTATAGAAGGCCTTGATCTACACATGTTGATGGCCATATAAATAAAATGATATCAAAATAATTATCTTTGCTGTGTATTAATTAAATTTATCAATGGATATCAGTTCATGTTCATCAGTAGATCATTAAAATTTGATACTGCAGATCCACATATTTAACAATAATTTTTTTTAAAAAAAATAAATCATTATTAATGGTAACCAGTTCAAATAACTTGGTGCTATTTTAAATTTGAATCTAACATATTGGGAAAAGTATCCGTTGAAATGATTTAGATCTATATGGTTAAATCTAAATTGAGGCGAATTAATTAGACGAAACTCACATGCTCTATGTAACATTTTCTCTCCACAAAACACCATGCTTGTATGTCAAGCACACAAATGCAAGAACACAGAGATGTCAATTCAAGGAAATATAACCGTTGACAAAATCCTCCACAAAAACTTTAATCCACCAACAAATAGAGGTTCAATGAGCACATAGATGAGAATAGTAAATTACAAGAAAAGGGTATTAGTCAATTCACTAAATTGGGTTAACATGAGGCAGAATATTGATATTGGGAAAATAAACAAATTGTCACATCCAGAGAGTAAAGTGTGATTTACTCGGTTTTCCATTTATTCTGTTCATAGAAGTGAAAATGCAGCACCTAGCAACAGCAAACCATTAGCGGAGATGAGAACTCAATAAGACATATTATACACAATTCATTCTACTTGCTTATAAAATAAAAGTCCTGCTCATCCAAAATTTGAATGACATGCATAAAGTGAACTTACCTGTAATCATTATCAAAACACATGAACTTCCCTAAAGCTTCAAAGATCCCAATTCATGTAAACATTCAAAAGTAAACTTGATCCTTCACTCATTCATCATATGTATCAAAAGTAAACTTCAAAACTGAACTCAGATAAATTATCGTTAGTGTTCCTACTTCTTTTTGTTTGCACTGTGACTAAGCAAGAGGGCCTCCAAATACGGGTCTCATGTAGGCATCATCAAACTTCCTCCAATAATGATGTATGGTGTGTACGGGACTTTCCATCAACATTGATAGACTTTCCTTTGCCCGGCTGATGTTGGTTGCTGTAGACTCCTCGAAGGACAACAATGGCAGATTCAAGTCCTCAATAGGTGGACTGGACTCCTGATGAGCGATGTTCTTCCTTGTCGAGCTATGGGGAAGAAGATAACGGATAAGTGGTTTTGTGAGAATGCCAAACACCTGTAATGAGTTGATTCTATAATCAGATCAACATATTTCTGATTGTTAATGTTTTATAATAAAGGTGCAGCATATTTTCAAGCCTTCAATAGACAGCTTATTTTCAAGCTTTTTGCTTGGGTCAGAACATACATGACCAAAACATCTACATTTCAATTGCTGCTACCCCTATCTTCATTGTTAAACGAAATTTCAGCAAAAGGCTTGTGCTTGTACACACTTCAGGTCCACCTGGCTCTCATGTGAGGACATCTTAGGCGTTATAGTTAAAAGAATACAAAGATATTAACAATTTGGTTGCCCAAAGTATTACACCAATTTGGGTTTAGTTATAAGCCTGATTTAAAGCAGTCCATGAACATGACAGTTAAGAACAAAGGATAATTGAAAGGTGGTAATTGTTTTCCAGTTTAGTTAGTTTGTTTGTTTTCCTAATGTATCAAAAACTAATAATAATAATAATAATAATAATAATAATAAAGAAAAAGAAAGGAGGAGGATGGCTCTTGCAGAATAAGACAGCATCTTTTTCAGCCAAGAAGAAAGCATCTAAAGAATTTAATCATGCCATGTTATTATTCCAGGATTTATGATATCACAACCAGAGAAATATGCCAACTCACCAGCGTGCTGAAAAGCACAACAATGATGGTGTTGGTGATCATTGTTGCATCAACAGGATCAAATGTAACACCAGAATATGTGAACTGCACAAAGCAAAATATAATGGATTCAGAAATCATTTCCCAGCGATCTGTTAGTTTTCTATTGTAGTCATTAAGTTTCTTTTTGGGTTAGTGTTTAGAAGATTTGATACATACTTGTTTGAAAGCCAGAGCAATGGAGACTGCCCCCCTCATAAGTCCAGCCCACCAAATGATTATCTGGAAGTTATAACAACATAAAAATGCCAAAATTTTCAAGTAATTTTTTTCTTCTTCTTTGGATTGTAACTTATCATATCAAACATGAATGTCAACCTGGTGCCTGAATGTGATTCTTGAGTCTCTGTGAGCACGCCTATTCAAACAATTTGCTAAAGCGGAGAGAGGAAAAACAAATGCAGCCCTTCCAATTAATATCAGGAAGATTAAGCAGCTGTAAATTCCCATCAAACTCCAAAAACTGCAATGAAGAAATAACTTGAAAGAGTCCTCATTGTCAAGGTGATATGCTGCAAACTGCAATGTATCTCACAAGGCATTTTAAAAAAGATTTCAGAAATACAAACTTCAAGTTTATTTTGTTCAAGTTTCAACCGCGGATATTGTGAGCAGCAAAGGACATACTCCACAATAAAGAGGAAGTTGAAAAGAATAAGCAATAACTTTTTGGACCTTTAGGTGCCATTTCAAATACAATTTCAAACAATGGAAAAGGTAAAAGTATGTAGATCTTACTATCACTGATTATATAACTTATCATGATCAGTACATCATCCTTCACCACAGAATATAGGTGTCTTCCATGGTGCACACGAAGTGTTTTGTTTTTTAAGAACAAAAAGGAAAAATACCCAGTTGATAGAAACTTCAGCATGAGCATTATTTATGCAACCTGAATTGATGCTTCTCTTCCTAAGTCAATGACCACTCATAATGTAACTACAAAAGATGGTTAGTTTCTTTGTTAAACTTGATGAGATAAATTTATATAGAAATGAGGATAGGAATAGGACCTTAAGTTGGTAATCCTCCACTTCTCCATGTCCAGAGCATCCATGCCCACATAAAGAAATATAAAAGTTTCTGCAATGAATGACATTGTCGCAAAGACATGCCTAGAGAAGATTGAACAGGTTAAATATCCAAAACCTTGAATGTAGAAATCATCGAATCATAAAAGACAGATTAATCTATACCTGGTTGTGACTCTGGAAGTTTCAGTCACATTATGCCATGCATAGTGAGACATTAGTAGTCCGCAAAAGAAAACAGTGAGGATTCCACTAAGTCCTAGTAGCTGCAATAAAAATCCAGTGAATATGGATTGTTAAAAAATAATTTATTCAATAGACATATAGACTATTAGTATAAGCTAACAAAAACAATTTGAGCAAAACCTCAATATACAAAGCCCCAAAATTACCAATTACCAATTACAAATAGTATTATTTTGCCCAATCCAATCGAGCAACTAACGTGTTATCTTTCAAAAGTTCAAGTTTGGTTTGGCAGTAAATGCTAAGCATAAGTTGAGCTGCTAGGGTTAACTGAATCCAAAACCAGAATGGTTCTATAGCAGGCAAATGCATGAACTCCAATGTACCTCTGCTAACATGTAGGATAGGTATGCCATTAAAACCATCAATGCAATTTCACGAACACTTGAATGTCTGCAGGCATATTTAGATCCAGAATCAGAAAAGCTATTTTTGAAGTTTGGCATTCCCAATTCAGACCATCTTGATGATTATCACATTCAGGAGAGTTTTAAAAGAAAGTTATTTACCTTCCAAAGCATAAGGCTTTCAGGATGTATGCAGTGAGAAGTCCAGCCTGCATGAACATGCATTTGTTTACTATATGAAGTGACAGAAGAAGAACAATAAGGAGAAAGAACCCAGCGAGTTTGATGTATAAGATACCACGTTTAGAAGTTAGCTGAAAGTAACAGACACACATTCAATAATATAACTTGCAAAATTGACATTATTCCATGTGAACAGTTCCATAAATTTTATATTGTAAGGAGAAAATGCTGAGTAAAGTTACTGACATGAGGTGATATTCACAGGGTTAAACTATTTTGGAAAAATGAAGCATAAAGAAGTTATAAAACTTTAGCCATGAATGATACTCCCTGACACGATGGCACTAGCTAGTAGCATGTGACAGCAGTACCATCAACTAACAAGAGAGTTCAAGAGGAAGTGATGAAGGCATTTTCAAGGCCGAAACTTACAATGAATCCAAGGGCAGTGCTTGTGGAGAACAGATACAAGAAATCTCCCATGACATGGAGTGCCCTGCCATTAACTTTTGAAGCATCAAGCTTCCGAACTGCATTGAAGAGAACAACTGACGTTGCATCATTTACCACTCCTTCTCCAAAGACTAGGCTGTATAATAGAGGAGTTTCATCTTGATTGAGAACCTGCAACGGATAAAGTGTAATAAATAAACAAGCATGTAAATATGTTAAACAAAAGAGAATTATTTAGCAATCTAACTGACCTGCAAGGTACAAACAGTATCTGTTGAAGAGAAAATTGTTCCTATAGCTGAATTAAAATAAAGCTAATCACCAGGCAAATCTGATAGACATTGATGAAATTAGATCAAGATCTACATTTCCACGCAACATCCAAAAGATACAAGAAATCTCACCAAGATAATCTTGCACAGTCAGACCAATAAAGTTCAACTTGGGGAAAAGCCACCAGCTGCCTAGGTAAAGGACCAAATGCAAAGATTTGAGGTTTGTCTTTCTTTGGCCAATAAGACTTACGTTAATTCTATGTGAACTTCAAAAGGAAAATATTAGAGATTATGATCTACCAGATACAACAATAGATGCCGATATAAAAACACCGATCACCCCAAATAGCATGATAGTTAAGAAGTTGTGGAAGAACTGTTTCTTCTTGACCTGAAATCTGTCATCAAGAAGATGTGACTCAGAACAGTGAAAGTTTTTGTTACCAGAGCTGCTTCACTCATGATCCTGCAAAAGACATAAGTTCGTACCCAGCATTGAATATTATGGGTGGCAGGAGATATATGAAGAATAGTTCTTCATCAAATGTAAGGATGCGAGAACTCTTCCCCTTGGTGATGAACAAGAGTATCATTCCAGCAATACATCCCTGCCCAATGAATATAACCAAGGTACTAAATATGTATCAGTAAGATTAATTATCGTTTCATAGTCTCAATCCTGATCAAATTATCCGCAGAGTAATAGCTTGTCTTGTGAGGGGGAAAAAGATCAAATGCACAATGGGGGGAAAAATAGAAAGAACTCTTAAAGGCTGACGATGGAGCTGATTATTGTAAGCTAAAACGGATATAGAAACTAAAATCATTGTCATTAAACGTCCAGTAATTTTAACAATGTCATATGATAAACCTAGAATAGCGTTCATGCCAAAGAAACAGAATAGGCCAAACAAAGAAAGCAACTTAAGTTCCATTTTAATGGATCATATAAAGTTTATCAGTTTCCCTTAACATCAATAAAATAAAGACTTTCAGATAGATGTAAAGGGATCATGATTGGCTTCAAGTTCCATGTGCAGCGAAGTAAAATACATGCCGGTGATGTCGAATAGGAAGCTTTCTTTACAAAAGCCCAAATCTCAAAGAAATGTTTAAAGACAAAAAACAAAAAGAAAGACAAAACTAAAGAAAAATGCAGTCACCCACCCTTCATTCTTACTGAAACCATACCACGGACTAACTCTACTGATTCTCAGTACTTATGTTAGGTGAACAAATGGGGCCTAAAATAAGAGACAATTACAAGCAGCAGGCAGCAAATTCATTCATCTTTCTACATTTGCCCGAAGAAGGCTATGAGAACTTGAATACATGTCTAAAGCATTGGTACTTCATAGCCTTCAATTCACACAAGCAGCCAAAAATTTCAACCATGACACAGAGCAAATGAAATAATAAGCAGACAGAAAATCATAAAATAGAACGGCGATAAATAATCAAAGGAAAGAAGCGTATGGATGATTACAACTAGAATGGCAACGATGGATTCATTAACCCAACGGTTTTCTTCGAGCAAGTGACCGATGAGCAAGCAAAGGCAGAGAACCGCCACGAAGAGCGAAATGGGTATCACCTGTGCGTGCTCGTGAGCTAAGTTCTTTGCAGCGACGGGTATCCAATTCAGCATGGCCATAACCATTATTCTTCTCTCACACTCATCGACCGATCGCGTATCGAACTTGTAAACCAATCGCTGAGCCTATTTGTACATAAAATACATGAAATATGAATTTCATTTATGAGAATGTTTTAACGTGTTTTATCTTTTTAATTTGGGAAAACACAGTGAGGGTGCTTATATTTTCATCGGTTTTTAGCCTTGTAACTTTTTTTAAATAATTTCAATTCCTATAATCTTAACAAAATTAAATGACATTGGTTACTCATATTCCTATAATTTTAGTGTCTAAGTGTTCAATTCGAAGTAGAAATATTGAAAAACTACAAACACTAAAAACAAATTTTAATAAAATTATAGGATCAATAATTGTGTTTTCCCTTTTAAATTGTTTTATCTAATTAAAGTTAACATATATCTTTGATCTTTTAATTTTATTAAAAGTTCATTTTAATCACTTAATTTTATAAAATATCTATTCAATCTTATAATCATAACATTAGTAGTTTCATCAACAAAAAATTTTAATATTCAACTTGAATCAACAAATATTTAAAAATATTATTAAATGTTGGCATATTAAATTAAATTTTTCAAAATAATAATAATTAATAAAAAATAATTATTTAAATGATAATAAGATTAAATGAATGAAAAGATTGTTTTATAAAATTAAGTTCAAAGTAAAATTTTATATAAAATAAAAAGATGAAATATACATTTTAACCTCTAATTAATAATTTTTTTAAGTTTTTGAATTCAGTGTTTTTCATAGTTTTGCCAGGAAATTTGGCATCAAGACCAAAAATACAAAATATTTGGTAAAAAAAAATATAAAGCCTAAATATACATGGACAATTAGTTACTGAAAGTTTTTTGAAGTCTTTTTTGTTCATAAAGTTTTCTAAATTTTTTTCAACTAAAAAAATATATTTATAATTAAACAAGGTTACACTAAGGATATATGTACTATTGAAACTATCTCATCACCTACCACTTATTTGGTAAAGGTGGGGGATGATTAAAGGTATAAAAATTAATATATAACCTAGAGAAAGCTTAGCAAGGTCGTTAATATAAATATTAGAGCATCTATTGACGTAGTAAATGTATATACTCCAATTCATGTGACACAAAAAGAGAGAATTACCTTAAAGTTTTATAAAAAAAAGTTTAATAAATATAATGTTTATTGATAATTAAATTAAAGTCATTAACAGGTAATTTTTCTAAACAAAAAACAAACATCCTCATCCTCATCACGTCTCAAGAGGCGTGTGAAGGATCACATAAGTTTTCTAAAATTTGATGGCAAACTTTCCCAGAAAATTATATTTTAGGTTATTCAATTATTAATCTACAATTATGACTCAAACTTTTAAATTAACTTTTTATGTTTTTATCTAATTTTAAATTATTTTTTATTTTATTCAATATTTTGTTATATGTGGGAGTTAATTTTACTTTACAATTTATATATTTCTATCAATTATAAATTATAAATGACATACACACATATAATAAATAAAATATTTTGTTATAAATATGATCGAGGGAGAATGAGTTTTTTTTGTCCTATTTATAAATTATATTATTAAATTTTTTTTCACAAAAATTTACTTTTATTCTCCATTAAATGTAAAAATAGAAAGTATATTATTAATGTATATATATTTAATATAGAAAATTGAGAGCTTATTAAATTTATAAATAAAATGAATATGTTTTAAAATTCTCCTTGTAATTTATAAATGGGATAAGAGGAATATATATATATATATATATATAAAGTAGGGATAATGACATTTAAGAACTTCTAATAAATATCACATACTATGAATTTTTTTAAAAAAAAACTATTATTCTTTGTTGGGATCAAAATTTTTCTCTTGTCCGTTCGATTATTTGAACTCATAACATGGGGGTGGAGTGAGGACACAGACCTCAACACCAACATGACACCTGACTTATTTTTTATTTATTTCAGAAATCACTTAAAGATGTTTTCTGTGCTTATTTCCATTGTTCTCTTTTTAAAAGATATTAAATATTAGTTTTTTTTAATATTAAAGGCATGAAAAATGAATATTGAAAGCATTTAAGATAACTTATGTAAAATTTAAAAAAGAAACTGAAAAAACTAAAAATAACTTCTGAAAATGTAGAAGATGAATGTTGAAATATATAGAAGGTAAGTACTTGAAATATTGACTCAAACAATTCTAAATTTTGATTAAAAACTATAATTTTTTTAAAAAAATTAGAATCTTTAACCGTAAATAATATTTTTAAAGTACATTAAATATCATTCCCCTCCAAAGTATTTAGATAACTCATAGCCAATTACTCAATTTCATCAGTAGAATATAAATATTATTTATATAAATTTTACAATATATGGATCAATTTAAAAATTTTGTAATTCTCAAATTATAAAAAGTGAATTACAGGTAAGCTAAAAATATGTATTTAAAACAAAATTATTCAACCCTCTAATTTTGATAAATTTAATTTATCTAAAATATTTCATTAAAAATATTAACTTATGCAATATTTCTCCAGTCTTTTTTATAAGTCATTTTTATCAAACTCATTAATACTAATATAAAAAAGTATAAGAAATAAAAGTGTGTAAAATTTTAAATATATTCTTATATAATAAACTCAAAAAATAATATCCTGTTAATTTTTTTTCATAAAGAATAACTTTAAAAATATCTTTTAAAAATTATTTATAAATAAAATTAAATAAATCTTTTAAAATATACCTTATAGACGGAGGGAGAATTTGTTATTTTTTCCATAGCCCCAAGCAAGCGCGGAATTTGTCATTTTGTGGAAAATATATTAATATATATACTAAGACTAAGATACACACACATGTCGTTGTGAAGGTGAGAGACACAGCTGGGAAGCCACGCGTCGAAGCAACGATTCCTTAGTATGACACGTGTTATTGACGGCATATGTGGCTAACACGTGTTTTTAGTTTTTAAATGAATTGGATAAAAAATTCACAAAATCAAAAACAATTTATAGATATATCCCATGAATTTCATTTCATTCAAGAATCATTGAAGATGTTTAATATCAATCCTAAATTAAAAATTTTTGTTTTTTTTTTGAGCAAAAAAAACTTTTTGAAATATCATTATTGGAGTAAGGGAATGATTTAAAATAATTTTAGATAAAAGAATAAAAGTACCCATGCATTTCTTTTTTTAATGAACAAATGTCATGAATTAATAAGTACGTCATAGTTATTAAACTTTTAAGTTGGCTCTACGAGTTTAGCGCTTTTATATTTTCATCTTGTAAAATCGTGTCACTCATAAACTCAGAGTAGATATAAATTCAGTTAAACTCACAAGTTTACCTCTGAGTTTACCGTTTTTATATTTCTAACTTACAAAATTATATCAACTAATTTATAAATTTGGACTAAATGTAAGCTTGGTTAAACTTATCAAGCTCATCAATTCTTTTTTTTTTTTAGTTGAGCGAGTTAAGCATGAAGAAAACAAAAAAAAATGAAATGCAAAAAATAATATTAATAAAAAATAAAACAAAAATGAAAAATAAGTTTCCCTATTTTAAAATTGTTATGTCTTGTATATGATAATTTATCAATGTAGACGGGTTAATTTCAATGATTTATATTTTTAATATATTTAAATTAAATTTTGATCATATTTTAATGACTATTTGTTAACAGAGGTAAATCTTATGAGTTTATGATTTGAGTTTGCGATACGAGTTTATATTTCTATCATGAGTTTATTTAAACTCGTGAGTTTAACAACCTTAAAATACACATTCATATTTACTAAAAATCATTCGCTAATAGACAAGTTTAAAAATCTGAAAGAACTTAGTTGTAAAAAGGGATAATTGTAAAATCATATTTCAACAAATAATCATTAGTTAATTAGCAAGTACCTATTCGAATAACATTTAACAAAAAGTTATTCACTAATTGATAGATTTAATAATATGAAAGAACTTAAGCGTATAAATTATATTTCAATAAATAATCATTCAATAATTAACAAGTATGCATTTATATTTAACAAGAAACTATTTGTTAATTGATAAATTTAAAAATTTGAAAAACACTTGGTTGTGAGAAAGGGCAAGTAGAGATTATATTTCACAAGTAATTATTCCTTAATTAATAAATATTCATTTACATTTGATAAAAAAAATATTCGTTAGTTGACAAGCTTTTTTTTTTTTTAGAGAAATGCAGTCGTACTATATAGTCTCTTTTTATTTAAAATTATTTTTAAATTAATTCCTTAATCCTATAGTTATATTTAAAATTTTTTTAATTATATTAAATTGTTTGTGTGGTCCTTGAATTATGTTAAAGTCCTGTAGTGTAGGCTGTCCAGTTTATAATCATTATTTTGGTTTTTTTTTCGGTTGAATATTAGTTTCTCATACTTTTTATGTGATATCTTTTTAGGGAAAGAAGTTTTTTTAGTTCTTCAAATTTCAACTTAATTAAAACACAATATCTTAAATATAATAAAATATAATTTAATTTTTGAATTTTAACTTGTCAAAACTCAATCATTAATATTTTCTCCGTTTAAAAAGTTTATCTCGTCATCCATAAATTTAACTTTTAACTTGGAAAAAAATACATGGAACGTCTCATGAAGTGTATATCAATTAATCAATCTTCTATCATATTTACATAAGTCAAATTTAATTTCAAATATAATGGGATGAGTTTATAGGTAATTATGTGTTTTAGGGTTTGTTTACCATAATTATTATATGCTTTGAATATTAGATATTGCATTTAAATTTTAGAAAAAAAAGACAAATTTTTGTCCCTGTAATTTGCATGAGTTTTGATATAAGTGTTTATACTTTTTACATTGTTTGTCCCAATAATTTTATAGAAATGTTGATGTGGCACAAATGATATTGAGAATACTGACGCGTCTATTAATATCATTAACTTTGTTTTAAGGTGTTAAGTTAGTGCTAAGATGGACTTTTGAATTAGAAAAAAAAAAGGCTATATCAGATAAAATTTAAAAAAAATTC